TTTCTCATTAGACTCGCTTCATGGCCTATTTCTAAAGAATTTGATATGGAATTTTACATGGGTTTCAAGCGCCATGCATATTTTTTAATGGCAGATTTATTTGTATCATGACAAGGATGATATTTAAAGATGATAATCTGAGCAGCACACTCAGCGATATTGGTCGTATTGATGATTGCATTCGATGTAATAAATATATAAAAATTCCAGTGAAAGCTATTGAAAAGCAACGAACCGTGAAATTTTTAATGACCGTTGAAAAGAAAAAAAAGGAAAATGACTATCCATATTTTAATTATTATGCACATATAAAATTGAGAATATAAAAGTAATAATAGTTTGTAGGCTTTAAAAACTATTTTTGGGTTGCTTAAGGCATTTTATTTAACGATGAAAAAAAAATTTTGAGCGGAATGAGGCAAACGAGGTATGCGACTTAAATATTAATTTTATTTACTCGTCGTAAGGAAATAAATTTTATGACAAAATTTTTGTTATATGTTAATTTTTTGCAGATTTCTCGAAGATTTTGAAGATATCGATTGAAAAATTCTTAAAGAATTTCGATACTCCATTTATAGGAATCGCTGCAAAAATAACTAAAGCTACGAATTAATAAAATGAATCTTGAGCGAGTTGTTCACTAAAAAAATTGATTAATAGGAAGGAGTTGCTCTTTTCAAGAAATCAGGAAATTCTAACTGACCATAACTTTTTAAATTTTTGCATCACCATATTATCATAAATCTAACCATAAGTCAGTTTCGTCTCTTGAAACTCCCTCACGCAAAATTAAAACCCTATATTGCTGGTGATACCCACTTTCCCAAATGACTCTCTGGCCTTAGCCAGTGGAGCTGCCAGTCAAGAAATGGTGAATGCACTTGTATAAATCATATTTAATTAAGATTTATTTAAAAGATCAATATTGAAAAATTCATAATTTTTTTGTTTCCATTTTTTAGTAATGGATGTAGAAATTTTAATCCTTAAACAAATAAAAAATTTTTTTAAAAAATCAAAATTTTTAAAGGAGTTTATGTAATTGAGTGATTCATCCCGACAAAATACTCTGTTTCATCCTCAGTGGACATAAATCTAATTATATGGATCAAAAATGTTGTCACCGAATTCATTTCCTTACTATTCCCGAAATTAGGAAATAAAAATTTGAATCGATGGAATGGTAATATACAAACATATCTGAAATAAAACGGGTTTGGATATTATGTAAAATACAAGTGTGGAAGCCATTAGCTCTGCTTAAAAATTTGCTTTTTATTAAATAATAATTGAACACCAATTTATCACTGAATGCGATATGGTCAAGCCACCACTTAATCATTTAAAGCTAAGTTCTTATTCCTTGGAGAAAATCTTAAACGTCCGAGTGGTTTTGAATATTTATCTGTATTTCTATCCACAAGTAAATCTTCACATATAGTTTTATGTGAATTATCAATAAACATAAGCTAAACAGAAATAATATTATTACTGTCTATTTTATAACTTATCGTAAGCAGAAAAATTTATCGAACCTCTGATGACCGTCGCAGATCAAAGCCACGACATTTGATCTCTGCTCCTAGCAAATTAATGTATGGAATTTAAAAAAATTATGTCGATCTGACAAATCTTTTGCTCATTTACAGGAATTTATCGTAAATTTTTGAATGGCCATTGGCTGCATGAAGATGAGTGGACAAGATTATATAAATTACAAAGGCGATTATTGCACAAATAGAGGAGTAAATTCATTAATTATCTTCAATTATGAACAATTATCGTTAATTGTTCAAAATCTTTCTAAATAAATCGAAGTTAATAGTTCCGTTTAAAAAAAAACGAAATTTAATAAAATTTTTATGTTGCTTAGATTCTTGCAATACGAGGTTTTCTTTTAGACAAATTCTTTAACAATTTCATGCGATTTCATTGAATTTCTTAATTATTATTTGAGTTATTTTTTAATTTTTCAATAATTGTACGTCATTACTTAAAAATTTTAAGAAAATTACAAAGAGAAAATTGAAAATAGAATTGAATTAATTGAAAATTGAATATTTCAGTTTTTCTTAGGATAGATAAAAGTATTTTTCCTAAGAAACACACTTTGAAAGTTTGTTCAAAGTGACATGAAAATTTTTTCCTCTAACCTTATTCACCAAAAAATTTAACTTGTTCGTTCCACTGAAGATAAGCCATTTTGTCAGAAATTTCATGGTTTTAATTCACTTTTCTCTTGCACTCCGTTCCAATTTTTTTTCTGAACTTTACTAAAGATAAGCTACTGTAAGCTGTTATTTTTCGCATGAATGACGAATTTTTTGTTTAAAGATAAATTGGCTTAAAAATTGGATTAGCGTTTTTTTAAGGCGTAAGCAAAGCTAAAAACAAAAGCTCTATCATTAATGCCTTTAATCATGATAAATGTTTGTGGAATCGCTTGAATGAACTTTCGCTTAAAATTTTTGCAAATATTCATCTCAAAATAAAGATGAAAGAAGAGAAATTAAGTATCTTTACTTAGATTAACCGAAAAATCCGCTTTAAGCAAAAAATATTGTATTGCTTTTTTTTTTTGAGAAATCAAACAATTTGATGCAAAGAATATTTGGCATGAATAAAGCGTCTCAAAAATGAATAATCTTGATTAATTAATTTTATTTGCCAAGAGTGCTTAGCTTTGTTCGCTAAACCTCCTTCGATTTGATTCGAATGAAAAAAATTTTGCCATGGAGGAAGGTAGTAGTATAGGTGAATTACCAACATAACTCGGGTTTTTAAAAGATTTATTATTATTATTATACAAAATTTATTACACAAAAATTTACTCCTATCGAGTCAAAGAATCGATAGTGCTCAATGCGAATGCCAATCATAATTTTCAGCCAGATTTTAATTAAATAAATGAATAAAACAGAAATATTAGTTGCATTTGGAGATATTCCCATGCGTTAATAAGATAGGATCTCGGACATTTAAATTTATATTAGACAAAATTTTTAAAAGTTTTATTTCAAGCAGATAAAATGGCAAGAATTTCAAAGCTTTCGTTAGTCACTGAGGAAAAAGAGAAAAATACTGAATTGCTAACTGAAATAAATGCATTTCATGATTTCCTATTGACCTGTTAAAATAGAGTTTTTTGATTTGCTAAATTATTTAGTTCTATTTAAATTATTTGTATGAAACGCGTTTGAACCAACTTATTTTTTGTTTCAGAAATTCAAGCGACTAGTTCGAATAAAATTTTTGGTATCGCTCAATTAACAAAATAATTTGAAGCACTTTGTTAATGAAATTTTCCAAGGAACAAATTTTTACGATGAATGCTTTAAATTTACAAATTTTATTTGCAAAATTCTAAAAACAATTCAAATTGTTAAAAGTAATGACGTAGTAATGCGTCACACTGTAGGATGTCCTTAAAAAATTTTTGTGGAAAAGAAGCCTCACTTTTGTCAACAAATGAAGCCAACCAAAGAAATGTTGAGAAGTACGAGATGATGCCAATAAATTTCATAAAAAAGCTCTAATTCGAATGCTCATGAAGAATGAGAATAATAAATGCAATAACAATGATAAAAAAAGAAGCATAAGGGAAAAATTGACGGTTTTTGGTTTTTTGCTGCATTGCTTATTTCCATAGCATAGTTCGGGTTTATTACCTTTATTCTTAACCTTAATTAACTTTTTCAACACTATCGCTTATTGTTCCTTCTTTAATGAATCGGCCTCATGAATTTCACTTATTTCACTTTGATGATTTTCATTTTCTAGATCAGATTATTTAAATGGATGATTATTGCATATATTTCTTCCAGGCTTAAGAAGAATTCAAGAAGATTTCGTATCTAAAAAAGTTTCATTCAGTGATTCTGTGTTGTCGGTCCTTAGGGAAATGAGCAATTTCGATTGCTCCGAAAAAGCACTTGAAGAAATTTATAAAATTAATTCAAGAAATTTTGGAAAATTGCTAAATAACTGTGAAATTGAACTCCGTTGAACTTGACGAAATTTTTTTTCTGCCAAAATATCCAAATTTGCCAAAATTGCAATTTTCTATTACATTTTGCTAACTCAGCGTGATATTTTGTCATTTGCACATATACTTAAAAATTTTTATAAATGAGGCAAATAATTTTGTATTCGCGAAATGAAATTTTTTTAAAAATTGTTTTCAATATTAACAAATTTTTCAATTCATTAGGGAACGGACAAAACTATGACTGAAACTTTTCAAGTGAATTGCTATCAAATTATTTTGGCTATTATTTATTTAATTTTTTTAAAAATCTATTATCTCTTTAAGACATAATTAAACTGAAAATTTTCAATTATTGTTTTAATTTGAAGACAAAGTGGTGGATTTAATTTGTTTTGATACTGAAAAATCGTGCGATAAACAATTTCCTTGAATTTGCAAAAAAATAACCACATAAATATAATTATGGCCGAAAATCTAGTGGCACAACAGCACTTCGTTTTAAAAATATTTTTAAAAGCAAACAATTTAAAGTAAACAAATTACCAAATAAAGCGTATAAATCTATAAATTTCTCAAAAATTATAATGGCCAATATTTTATCAATGAGGTGAATAATGAAACGATATAATCGCTATGAGTTTTTCTATTTTTAAAATAAATATTTTTTTAAAGCAGTTCTGATGGCTTCTAAATAAATAACCTTTTATAAAGGTCGATTCTCATTTTTTTCAAAAAACAGAATAAAATTTTAGCATAAAGCACGAAATAATTTGTTAAATCATTAATAATATTTAATAAAATAATATAAAACTTGAATTTAAATATAAATAATAATATGAAACTTAAATTTTTTTGCATTTTATTATAATATTTTCTATTTTTAACACTAAAAGCACTATTTAGCGGGATTTGCAGAATTTTCAATTTGTTGCATAAAAAGTTTTAAATCTTAAGATGTTAGAAGCGATCTCGCCCATGTCAAGTATGATAATCTGAAAAGATAAGAATCCTTTCAGATCATTGGTCTCGAAGGCATTCCTGTGTATACGCAATTTTTTCTCAGAGATCAAAAATGGTATTTTGGTTGGTTTTTATGCGATCTATGGTTAATGGTGGATTATGTCGTGTGCCTTGCTTCAATCTATACGGTTCTCGGCATTACTATCGATAGGTATTAGTTAATTTACAATAGTTAAGGAATATTTATGCCTAATTGCTTAATGGCTATTTAAAACCAATTAGAAATCAAAATTTGTTTTCATTATTATTATAATGTTATTATCATTAATTAATTAATATTATTATTAAATATATTACTATTAATTATCACTATTTTTATTTTATTATTGTTGTTAGTATTTATTTACTATTATTTATATCATTGTATCGTTGTTATTTGTATCGTGCTATTGTATCATTGTTATTTACTATTATTGTAAATATTAGTTTTTACTATTGTAAATTATTATTACATTATTGTTATTGTTATGCTCATACTGCGTTTACTCACAGATTTTGATCATTTGATTTTTTTCAGGTATTGTTCCGTAAAATATCCAGCAGCTTATAGAAACTGGAGGACTCCAGGCAGGGTCATTCTTATTATAGCAGTTGTTTGGCTGGTTTGTTTTAATACCTTAGCAAAAATTAAGTTGTATGAAACGATTTAAAATTTCTGTTTCTGAAAAAAATTGAGCATGACTGAATATGAAATGGAGTGCCACGTAACAATTAATTAATGAAATTTTTTTCAATTATTAGGTAAAAATTCCAATTTTTGCTTCATTTGCTTCATTTTTTATTATCATTACCTATCGCAACGAGTACTTTTTGTCATTTTGTCATTTTTTCAGATTCCTACAATATTATTCGGCTTGTCCGTATTTGGATATGATAAATTCACTGGTAAAAGAAAGTTGAAAGACGATGAATGTTACGTACAGTTTATGACGAATCCAATTTTAAACATGGGAATGTACATATCGTACTATTGGTCGACTTTATTTGTTATGCTTTATCTTTACTGGGGAATTTATAGGGCTGCCAAGCTTCTTGCTGCAAAAAATGAACAGGTTAATTCGAAAATTATAAAATAAATAAATTATAAAGTAATTTAAGCCGCAAATTACAACTGTTTTCGGCAAAAAAATTTGCAGAAAAACAAACGGCTTGCGATTCTCAATGAAATGAGAGCTCCAAAACAAGATATTGTATCGACCGCCACAGGTAAAAGTAGTGAGCAGGATACACCGCCTGAAACACAAAATTCAGCTCATTCGAAGTGAGAATTAAATTAAATTACGAGTTCGATGTGACAAGATCTTCAACAATCAGTCAAGACAATACAAATTATAATAAAGCAAATTATGCTAAATATTTTAATAGGCTTTCTAAAATTATACATGGATCAATCAATTAAGGAATCGTTCGAGGGCATCGAAAGATTTTAATATAGTTATTTTATGGCATTTTCTTTAAATTTGGATATTACCTAATATTATTAATATTTGCACAGTATTATTGGGGGCAGATATCTTCTATAGGGACAAATCTATTATTTAAAATCCGGATGGCGCTGGTACTCCACCTATACATCTATTGCCAAAAAATCTCAAAATAACAGTGGACAAAATAACATGAGCAGAAATGATGAGCTGTAATCACTTATTTTTATTTAGCATTATTATTAACATCAATATTTTAATATATTCGGTTAGATTCTTAAAATAGTTTTACCAAATGTTTTTTCTTCCTTACTTTCAATTAATGAATTTCTAGTCATCCTTTATCAAAAAATTGTAGGCCATATTTGCTGGATTTCTGTAGCGAGTGACTTTATTTGTTTATCTTATTTTTCGTTACTATAAATAAGATTAGGTTTTTTCATAGGATAAATAACGAGAAAGCATTTCTGATCGCCTTAATTAAATTTTTCCCGCGTCGAAATTCTTGTTATTTCAATGAAAACATTTGAGGAATCTTTTTTCAATGAAAAAATTTTCTTCGATTTCCTTAGTGGAACAGAAGAAAGAAGTCTCATGAATAAATAAATAATGCATTTTCTTCCCAAAACTTCCGTAAATTTTTGTAAGGATTACTTTTGTGAAACATCTTCAAAAACATTCGTTAGTCACAAATTGTACGATTCAATTAATATGCAATTCTCACTAGCAATATTCCATTTGAGATAAGAATGCACTTAAGATTCTCGAAATTAATGGCTAAGAAGAATGACTCAAAAGACTAATGAGGTATATTCGAAATATAAGAAATATTTGCATAATGAAACCAATGACATAATAGAAAATGAGGAAAGAAAAATTAATCAGTTGATAGGAAAAATTTTTTAATTCACCGCCATGAAAGTAACTGCAAATCATTTTTACTGCTCTTATTATCGAAATTTTTATTTAGATTATTAAAATAATTTTAATATTCTTGACATATTTATTTTTTCTCATTTTTTAGTTTGTCTTCTTTCACAGATTGCAAATCTTTGGAGATAGAGAAGCATTTAGGCTTCCAGCACTACAAGGATTCGTTTATATTATTTTTAAAATCATTATTTCTTTTTTCTCATAATTTTTCATCTTAGATATCTTTCAATTTCGATATTTTTTCGAATTCTTAATTTCGATAAATTTCAGCTATTCATATTATAGATCTTTGGATAATTAAACATTTTTATTGATATCAAATTATTTGGCAAATAACCCGCAACTAAGTCAAATATTTGTATAAAAAAAATTTAGTGGACCGATAAACATTATTTACCTAAAAATAAGAAAAAGGAGAAATTTGAGATGAAATTCACTCGAATAACAAGTGATCTTATAATATATTTCCTATACCATAAGGGAAAATTGAAATATTTTATTGTCACTCGTTTCACAATTTTTGCTATTTACTATTGGTCACTAACTAATTTTCTAATTTTCTATATTTTTTAAAATTTTCTCTAATAAATAAATATTAGCAACTGAGGAAAATTATTTGCGATGCTTGGTTCGTTTTCATTCGATTTATATTTCGTTTACTATTCACAAATTAATACATGCAATTTATTCATTTATTCATTTATGACTATAATATAGTATTTGAGTATGGCATGAAACATATGATTGGGCATATATATATTTGTAGAATTTTTAAAGAATGGATTTCCTCTTTTTCTGGAAAAAACCGTTTTAGGAATATATATGTGAACAATAGAAAAATTTTAAAATATTTAAATTGGTTCGGAAATATTTTTTCGTTAAATTTAACGCATTTTTCAACAAATAATTTTTCATATTTTAAACAAACACGCATTTCCTTCATAATAAAATGCTTGAAAATAATTTCTTGGCATAAACTAATCTTAGTTATAATCAAATCAAATCTCAGTTCTTCATGATTTTGATTAGTTGTATTGTGAATTAATAGTTTGAATTTTTTCTGCTCAAGCAGTTTATTTCGATTCTCATTCAAAATTTTTTATCATTTCATTTTTTATTATTCATGTTATCGAGGATAAAGTAACCTTCGACAGCTCGTCATAAATTTTATACACAAGAGACAAGAGAATATCTGATAAAATAGCGATGTCAACCGATACGATCGAGAATAATGTCAAGCGCTTCCCATGAGCCCAGCATAAATCTATAATAAAGATTTTTTTTCCGCTTATTCGTTGCTAAATCAATGCTAACATTTTATCTCCAAGGGGATTAAAAGCTCCGCTTCAACAATCCACTACTGATTTTAACTGATAGGATGAAGAAATCTATTACAAGGAATTTCATTCGGATTAATCAAAACTTTTTAGGATTTTGAAAAAATTATGAAAAAATTGTATATATGGCACAATATTATTGTCAGCATTGAAATCGATTCTCAATTTCTCAAATTAAATTTTGAAGCTTTTACGAATTTTTTAACATTTCTAAAATTTTTTTATATTTTTAAATTTCTGAAATGGTTTCAAAATGATGGAAATATCGAGAAAAAAATGAGCGCTATGATTCAAATGAGTGAAATAATAATTTTTTACGTTTCCTTCTTTTATTAGAGCGGAGCTTTGTCTCCATGTTTTTCACCAACTAAATGAAATTGTGAGCTTGAAAGATTAATATTCATAAAAAACATTTATAGCGGAATTGAATGGAAACACGAATTGAAGCGGAAAATTTCCTTAATAAGCAGTATTCACGCATAATGCGTCAAATTGTTTTAAAATTTCTAGACAATCTTTTAAATGATCTTTTTTTTAAAGGAATCATGTCGAAAATTCGTTTCCGGTGAAACGAAGGACCACTGCTAGTGACAATCAATTAGGTAATTCGTGCAGTCTATTTGATCAGTCAATTAATGTGGTTAACCGGTAAATTATTTATTAATATTATTTATTAGAACAATGGTCCTGTTTGAATTAAATGACTTGACACGCTTAAATGACCTATCATGTCCCTTTATTTTTTTGATCTTTTTTCTATTTTCGTTTTTATGCTAAGAAAAAAAATTAACCGAGTTAGCCAAGTTAAGTAATTATGGTTGTCTAAGGTGATCAAATATGGGTTTCAACTAAATGGCTAAATTCAAATTTAGTCCAATTCATAAGCTCATTTCTGTCCCTTAACTGAATTACTATAAATACTAAACAAATACAACATATACCCATCATTAAAAGTGAAATCCGGGCAGTTTTAAGGATCCACTTATATTCTTCTTCCTTACTGATTTTCTGAGATTTCTTAATAGTTATGGAGCTGGTCGACCAAACAAACGAGGAATGCTCTTAAAAGAAGAAGAATTACAATCATTCAATTTGAAAATTCCATAAAGAAAAGAAAGAAAAACTTTAAAATATTTTATAGACCAGAAGTCAGTAGCGCATTTGAGAGAGAAAGTACAGCACCATGCGTATCACCAGAGGTTTCAGATCCTGATGTTCCAGAACAAATTCTGTTTCAGTTCCATCGAAAGAACATTCCTTTCATTGACACTGACAGCTTAACATCTCTTATGGTGCGAGATGGAATTTCAGATGGATCTAGAATTGAAGTGAAGATCTAGAATTCTTGATTTTTATTTTCTTTATGAATCAGCAATTTAAAAGAAAATTTAGAAAAAATAATTTTTCATTTTATTTAGGTGATAATTGCGCCAAAAGAAGAAATAACATCCAGTGAAGAAATACGAGTTCCACTTCTAGCAGCGGCAAAAGTCACAAAGAGGAAGCGATCTTCCAATTTAGGAGTACGAAAATTGCTTAGCGCAGTTCGTACAGGGAGTATTCATAGGGGTCGTCGCCGTAGAACTTCTATCAAATCTCGATCAGAAAATCGAGCCCGCAAGGTTAAAAACAATCGTCCATAAAATCTTAAAATTTTCACATGAAAATTATGTTTGTCACTTATTTTAAACTTTGATTTATATGAACTATGATTGAATTAGATTTTTTAGAGAAATTCTTGAATTTATGATCTGCAAAAATGTTAAATAAATTTGAATTCTTTTCGATAATAAATTAATTTATTTATTTATTATTGAAGCGACGATACATATTTAGACTAATTTTGAAGAAACCGTTGAAAATTTCTTGTTTTAGCTTGAGTACCGTGCAATGTTGTTGTCTCAAAGTAATAAAGAAGAAGTTATCATTTGTCATTTAATTCACTAATAACAAGATGTTATTGGAAATTTTTTTCCAGAATGCAGAAAATATTAATTGCTCCTTTTTAGGCTCTGCGCACGATTACTTTTATATTGGGGACGTTTACAATATTGTGGACGCCATTTTATATATTGGCTACGATAATTGGGTTCTGCAATTCGTGCAAGGAATCGAAAATTTTCAGTCTTTCTTATTCAATCAGTTATTATTTATGCTATATGAATAGTCCAATCAATCCATTTTGCTATGCAATGGCGAATCAACAATTTAAGCGAACTTTGACTAGGATTTTTAAAGGAAATTTCAAAAGAACCTGACGGTAATCAATTAAGACACGAGAAAACAATCGAACTATTCGATATTTATTTGCTTTCAAGCGTAAAAAGTTTTACCTTACCTTAAATTTTAAAGGTTTACCCTAGTTTTATAACCATCTATGCACACGTTAGTTTCTCCAAAAATGAAGTCTTCCATGTTCATTTGTTGTTTCTCCTTAATCATTCGAATTTTCTTTCTCCGTTTTTTTCTTTAATCAGCAATCAATGATTAAATCAAAATATCGCGAAATGGTTTTCGCGTAGCTTTTCACATATTTTGTACTCCATATACGTCATAAATTTATAAAAGCGTTTCAAAATTTTGAGTTTCCATTCAATATCCATTATTAAAGCAATAAATCTTGTGGAGATCTTTAAATCCCATCTAGAAATTAAGTTTTTCGGAATGTAGTAAAGCTTTCTTTAATTTAAATTAATTAATTATTGCCAATTTTTCTTCATCAGTTTAATCGCCGTTATTTTCTCGCTTGTCTACAGCATTTTTTAAAACTCTTCGAGGTTCTGTTTATTCATTCTAATAAATTATGTTTTTACAATATTTAGGACAAAAATTATTATTTTATTATTATTATTGTAATGTTATTTGTCCAAATAATATTCATAGCAATATTTTAATATTTTTAACAAATTTTTCCATTTACACTGGCAGATCGAAATTTGCATTAAATTTTTTTAAGTCAATTTCGAAAGAAAAAGGAAAAGCTTTTCATCGACTTTTTCTATATTTTCGATTTATAGAAAATACAGGAAAAATTTATAATTTTTATGGAGAAAAAGAGGAAAAATTATAATTTTTATCGAGAAAAAGGAGAGTCTTTCTTTCCAAGTTTTTTCTCAATGATTCTAATTTAGAAAAAAAGCGGTTGTGCTCAGTATTTCTGGCTATGCTAACTCCGCTGGCTATTGATAAGGTAAGATTTTTGCCAGAGGGCTACTTAGCGACAGGATCGCAGCTGAGCAACACGATCTAACACTAACCGCTAACGCGATCCGTCTCAATATTTATTCTTGGTTGAAAAAAGATCAATCTTTCTGGAATTTTTTAACAAGAAGAATTTAGAAGAATTTATGCAAGAATTATTATTAAAAGATTTGCCATATGCTGTGGTAGTTTTAGCTCGATATTCGATGCTGTGCACTATTTATTTCAAAAATACGAAATTGATAATTGCTTATTACTGTTATCATTCAAAAGCTGCAAATAAATGGATAGAAATATTTTTCATTCTCATATTTTTTATTTTCATTAATTAAATATGATGAATTTTTACGGAAAAACTTAAAAAAAACTTTTTCAAACTTTTTTCAAAGTATAAAAATTAAAACATTTTTCGAAAAATTCTTGAGATTTTAAGTTTCCATTAATCTTTCCATATGTATAAAAAGAAATATATACTTAAGCCAAATTCTTTTTCTCTGCCTTATAAATCTGAACGACTAAATTAATGATACTGGAAAGTAATTTTTGGAAGAAATTCCTCGAACAAAAAAATTATTTGCTCTACCTCCCAAATTAATATTGTGATTATGGTACTAATATATTTATTAAAAATTACTCTTTGCTATCGTGCGATATGTTACAACCTGGAGTTCTCATTTGTTATGGTTTTCTTTGAATGCAAAAAATTCCCACATTTCTGCTAAAGTAATAAACTTTTCAAATTAAATGAATAATAAATAATGACGATCGTTACATTTCATCAACCCATTTCACTACTTTCCGAAATATCAAAGTGTTATAGTTATGAAGTTTAAAAAAATATCTATGTTTATTGCCATTTTTCTATCATTTTCTTCTCGTACCAATTGAAGATTACCATGAAACGGATTAATCAAATAAGTCAGTTAATAGCCGTTAATACAAAGAGAATCTTTTACCATGGAATCATTTAGATCTATAGTTAGGTTTTTAACACCGATTTTTTCAATGGTTTATTCTTACCAACTGTTCAACCCTGTGAACATTTTTAGCTGGGAATTTTTGAAGTGGAAATTCATTCTATGCTTTTGATCTTTGAATGCAAATGATCAACTTTTTTTTATTAATTACATAAATTTCAAGTAGCTCTTGATTTAAAGATCGAACGGCCTTTGAAAAAAGATTCAACTTTTTTGTGAAAACTCATTTCTATTAATCGAATTAATCCATGCCTTTAATCAAGAATGAAGGCAATCATTAAACAACTCGCTTTGAAAAGAACTGATAATACTGATAAGTGACAAAGATAGTTTTCTTGAGATCGCAATCTATTAATCCAGTTTTAATTTAAAATACCACCTCGAATGCAGAAATCTTTGCATGCAGTTGAGATCAGTGTAATGGGAAAAGTAATGCATAATAAACCAGCTCAACGCTAGGAATGAGGCAAATAGTGGGACAATGCTTTCTGACAAGTGAAATTAACAGTATTAGCACGAATATCGGGTTTTTTCTGAATATACTTCATTGTTTGATCAGATGGACTCATAGGTAATGACCCAAAACCTGAACTGTCAGCTGAACCACTTGCATTTTTTAGAATTTGCCTGAAAGAAAATTTAGTTTGTATGAACAAAGAAAAAAACTAGGATTTTGAAACTGAGTGCAAACTGGAAAATTGCTGAGAACAAACCATTTTTACTATCCAAATAATTACCTTATAGATTCATGCCCCGCAAGTTGTGCGACATCAGCGGCAGTTCGTCCTAGTTTATCGCAATGTGATGGTTCTGCTCCAAACTTTAGTAAAAGTATTACTAAATCCCGTTGACCAATATGTGCAGCTATATTTAAAGCAGTAGCACCCTGAAAACTTTTTTAAAATTTGTTATTCAAACCATTTGAAAATGGCGTATTTCATCCTTCATTAGTCAAGAAAATTTCCTTTCTATAAGGAATTTAAAAAAAAAAAAACAAATTGTTGAAATAAGTGAAAAAAACTTACCTCATAGTCTATTTCATTTGGTTGCACCCCGATATCTTCCAATAAAAAATAAGCAATGTCATAATTTGATGCCCAAACAGCTGTCATTAATGGTGTTCTTCCCGCTTCATCCTGAGCTTCGAAATTACCACCATGTTCTTTTAAGATTGCAGCTATGTTCACATCATTAACCTTAAAAGAAATATTCACTAATTATTCTCTAATTATTATAAAATATTCATTAATTATTAATATTCTCATTTAACTAGTGAAGATTTTGCAGCCAATTTTGTGCCAATCTTACAATTTAATAGAGCCTGTACTTTACTTAATAAATTGACATAATTTATAAATGAGAAGAAAGAACAAGAAATGCAAAACATTGTATCCAATCTAAATTAATGCCAAAATCTCAAGATCGACCATGCAAACCAGTTATTATTATGAAATATTCTGATCTATTAAAAATTGAAAAAAATGCCTGAGCCACGAAATGTGTAGAATATCTATGATAAGAATCACAGGAAGATATTGAACAGCCAAGATCCAAAAGTAGTGAAACCATTTGCATATTTCGTGCAACAATTAAGGCATGAAGTAAAGGAGTGCCATTTAGATCACATTGATTTAAATCGCATTTTTCACCGCTGACTGATACATGAGCTGCTAAACATTTTACTATCGAATCATTTCCGGCCAGCGCAGCAGAACGCAACGCTGACTGACCATTATGCGATTGGAGATTAATTGGAGCACCGGTATCCAAAAGCAGTTGCACGACCTAGGTCATCAAAATTTTCGATAAATATGGAAATATTTTTATAAATATTTATAGAATATTTTTTGCTTTGCTTTTTCCTATTGTTCATAAAATGCTGTGGCGCTTATGGTTGCTTAATACAGTTATATTCATTTGAATGGATTTTGATTTTTGATTTTTTTAAAACTAAATTTTTTAAGCGAAATTTTTTTCTCAATTTTCTCAAAAATAGAATAGTTTAATTTTTGTAATTTTTCACAGAATTCTGAGAGAAAAAAAAGCATAGAATATTGAAGGACTGGAAAAAATATTTCTCCTAAGGCCATCAGCCTGTCAAAGCTTTCGCTGAAACTCGAATAAATTTTGGATTCATAACCTAAAATCTCAAATGCAAACTTCAGATTTACTTACTTTAACATCCGATCGCTGAGCAGCTATTATTAAAGGATGATTTCCATATTTATCTGATATTTGTACGGTCACAGAAGTACATAGCGCTGAACATAAATCAAGATTCCGATGAGATACAGCAAAATGAAGTGCAACCGCACCATCGTTATCCTAAAAAAAACGATTTATTCTAAATTTATGTAGCTCTTTCAGAATGTAAAAGTAACAAGAATAATATCCTTCATGTTGAAGCCATTATTATATATAAAATTATTGAAACGATTTCCTTCCTATTATTGTTAATATTAATTAAATGCTTAGCTAATTATTTAGCTCAATGCTCATATATTTCGTAAAAAAATAACTGAAAATGCAAATTTTACAAAGAATTATTTTGCAAGAATTATGGCAAATTTTCAACTTCTCAATTTCAATCTATTATAATTTTGAAAATTTGACATTATTCGTCGCGAAAAATTGAAATCTATAATTTGGTATATACCTTTAACTGAATTATTAGTATTATAAATACTATAAACGAGTTTTGAGTATTTTAATAGAAATTCTCTCGTTTCTCGTTTTAAACAGTTGCGCATGGCTTTGGCTAATGATTTTAATGTATGTAAGTACATGGCTTTACTTAGGTATCTATTAATGTGCCTTCTTGGGTATCTATTTTATAAATAAATAATTTTTTTTATTTTCATTTATTTTTTTACGAAATATATGAGCACTGAGCTAAATAATTAGCTAAGCGTTTAATTAATATTCACAATAATAGGAAGGAAATCGTTTCAATAATGATATTCATAATTAATGATTTTACCTTATGCGCTTCATCAGCACCGAGATTGAGTAACAACTGAACTATTTCAAGATTATTATGTATTGCAGCGTGTATCAATGCTGTTCTCCCTTCATTGTCAATGAAATCGATGTCCGCGCCGTGATCAATCAACTGTTGACAAGATCGAGTATTTCCTAGACAAGCTGCTAGCATTAATGCTGTACGGCCACTTTTATCCTGGAACTTTTCACCATATTCTAGTTCTATTGGCTGTAATTTAAAGATTTTTTTAAAGATTTTTTAAGTTAATGGCGACTGTTTGAAGCATTATAATCATATACATTAGTATCAATTTTAGATTTTTATTCTATTTTTAAAATTTCATTATCAAATAGTAAACCTAAAAGTCGAAATGAAGCTTCAAAAAATTCAATGAAAATAAGTTTTCTCTTATAGAAATTAGGAATACCTGAGCATCAACATTGCGGCAGCTTTTAATGATAGATTCCAGATTTAAGTCACCATGGTAGGCTGCAACATGAACACAATTCCATCCATTGATATCCTCTAAATTCACGTCGGCTCCATCTATAATATCGCAATTTATGGCTAAATGCAATAACATCAGCTTTAGACCGATAAAATAGAGTAAATAGAGTGGTTGATTAAGGTTAGACTATCATGGATTCGATTTGGCTCCTCGATGAGAGTTAATTTGTCATTAAAAGTGAATCCTATCGATGCTTACGATCCAGATATATTCTCTCTCTCTGATCTCATCTTAAAAGATCTTAAAAGATGAGATCTCAGCTTAACAGCCAATGCAAGCCAAAGAGATAAGGCTAGAATAAGGAGAAAGTATCCACTGAAAATAACTGGCGTTTCTTAGATAAATGGAAGCAGTGGAATAATTAAACACTGTCTTTAATGTCTTAGCTGAACTAAATTTATATAACTTTTCGTTAGTCCACAGTTAATTGTTTAAATAGATTTTTACTTTGAAGAAGTTCGATAATAGTTTGGTGACGATCATATACATCAGATTGATTGGATAAAGCAAGATGTAAAGCTGTTGCTCCTGATTTATCGGCTAACTGAAATTTTCATTTCATATGCATCCTTTGTCGCCAGAAATTTCTGATCTATTCTATTTTGTGAAATATGGAATACCTGAATTAGTTTTATCGAAAGCACTAACATTAGGATCGGCGCCAGCTTGAAGTAATATTGAAACGATATCGAAATGATTTTTGTAAGATGAAGCCATAAGAGCTGACCTTCCTTCAACATCCTTTTTATTTACATCCGCGTTGTATTCTAAGAGTCTAATTACAATGCTTTTTTGCCCACTCCTGAAAAATAAATCATTTGAAAAACCAACCAAACTGAGAAATTTTTATAATAAATGACATTCAGATTAGCAAAAATAATATATAATAAAAATAATAAAAATAATAATATATAATAATTAAAAAGAATAACAATAAACCAACTAAAGGTGGTGTAAAAATTCATCTCGGCTGGGAATTTTCGAAATAAATAAATAGTGCCATTCAATTTCTCTACAAAAATAGAGGCGGATGGAGCGAAACCAATATCACTATATAATTTTGAGGCAAATAAATTCCTCAATTAAAAGAATTTCATTTTTCGGTTTTTTTAATAAAATATCATGTTATTAGCTTATTAGTTTGTATAGTAACCCAAAATTAGATTAACTTAGTAATTTTTAGGCTTAGACATCGAAATTTTTTTTTTCATTCAATCTATTTCATATCGCCATATATTTAAGTTATAGAGGCCATTGAGAAAATGCCCCTCAATCCCAGATTTTTTAAAAATTTTTTACCTTTTTTGAAGTTCAGTTTATAATGTTTTCATGTATTAATGAGAAATCGAACGATAAATAAGAGGTTGGTGCATCATTACTGATTACGCTCATTCCGCTGGGGATGTTAAATCATGGTAAGGCTATGTGTTATATACCATTGTTTTTAATGCGGGCTTCTGTCGAAGAAGGAAAGGGGAGAGGACTTTACCTCCCAGCACTATTTTTTTTCTAAGAGTCCTCACCATAACTGGTCAAACTCGCTCCGATGTCTTGTCGCACTGGACAAATATACTTAAGCATTTTTCTTCATTAATTATTGTGAAAAGCAGTGGAAAAAGATGTCTGATTCCATTTTCCATTCTTTTATTAGATACAGTATTATACCACCGTTAAACCTCAATTAATTTAGAGAATTATTCCATTATTGATCAAATTAATGGCAAAAATATAATCCTACTGATTTCTGTCACTAAATGATCGTAATAGTAGAACAAAAAATTTTTAAAATTGATTAAATTTGTTATTAATTAAAACAAAATTTAAAAAATTCAATCGCGGGAAAAAAGACCGTTAGAGCAACTAAATCTCTATGGAATAAATAGAAAAAACAGTGAGTCTAAGGAGCGTACAAAGAAATCAAATTCTTCCGTATTGTTATTCTCTGGATCTCTTACGGATCATGCGGAACCTGCTCCAGACTATATCATTTATAATCTTGTAATTTCGTCCAGAAAATTTCACATCGTGAAGTGCTTTATGAAGAAATAAGAAGGGTATATTATGATCAATTCATATAAATAAACCATTACCATGCGGCAGCTCGTAAAGCTGTTCGACCTTCATGGCCACATTCATCTACATCTACACCTGAAACAACAAATTGAATAAAAATAACACTTCAACCAGACGCTGATAGTCAGTCGCCGTTTAAAGAGTTCCGAACTAGATAGTCATTCCTAACACGATGCTGAAACGGGCAAGATCTGACCATGTTATGGTTTGAGCCAAAACCCGCATTGAGAACTCGCAAAAAATAGCATTCCGCAAGATCCTTCAAGTACCTCAAACTAAAAAATAAAAAACTAAAAAGCAATCCTGCACCCAATTCTCAAGAGGGTTGGTAGGATATACTGCGACAATATTAATAATGTTAACATTAATAATAGTAAGACCCGATCCGCTCTGATTGAATGGAAGCCAGTAAGAGACTGTATGGTCTACGCGTGTTTCAAGGGAGTGTTGTAATATTTCTGTCATCAGTGTATATGCACAAACTTTATGTGCAGATGACTGCGTTAAGGATAAGTTCTATGCGGAGCTTCAACTCTTAATAACATCTCTTAATAACACCGAGAAGTGACATGGTCATGATCGGGGGAGACTGGAATGTGCGCGTAAATCATGATGCCGTTATAATAAATTCGGTAATTGGCAAATATGGCATATGGCGTCGGGGTCCAGTGCATCAGTGGAGAACATCTTCTTCCTTATACCGGAAAGCATGAACTTTTTGTTACTAATACTTGTTTCCGATCGTAGAAAACGTCTACGTAAAAAGTTACGTGGAACTCCTCGAATAAGCAACATTTCGACCAGACGCTGATAATCAGTCGCCATTTAAAGAGTTCTGCACTAGATAATCATTCCTAACACGATGCTGAAACGGGCAAAATCTGACCATGTTATGGTTCGAGCCAGAATCGGCATTGACAACTCGCAAAAAATAGCATCTCCCAAGATCCTTCAATTACCTCAAACTAAAAAATAAAAAGCAATCCTGCACCCAATTCTCAAGAGGGGTGGTAGGATATACTGCGACAATTATCGAAGAGTCTATTAGACATCTAAGTGAAAATTTTTGCTTCCCTTTTACTCAACAGAATTATGGAAGTATGGGACAGCTGGATGCACCCTAATCAAGCTGGATTCAGACCGGAGCACGATTGTGCTGACCAGATATTCACGTTAAGAAGGGTGTTAGAAGATCGCTTCAGATATTTGCAACCCACTGTCACGTGTTCCATAGACTTTGCGACTGCCTTTGATTCAATTGATAGAGCGGCGCTTTGGAGAATGATGGAACGCGACGGTATTCAAGAGAAGATCATTCGAACTCATAAAGGCATTTTATGAGCGCATGAGTTGTGTGTATTGGGAACTGTCAGACTTCTTCTAAGAACTGGTGTCAGTCAACGTTGAGTTTTTTCTCCTGTAATATTCAACTATACGATAGATAATTTGCTCGACCTTGTAATACGGCTGCGAAACATGGCCAATAAGAGTGGAAGATTAGAAAGCTATCAGCCTTTGACCACTCATATCTAAGGTATATTTTACGATTCTATTGAGCAGATAAAATCGTACATGATCGCATCCATCATCGCTCACCACCTGCATTAATAATGTTATCACAGAGCGTCGCCTTCGCTGGTTAGGACTCGGTTGTCCATCACAGGAATTGAGGCATATTTCGTTATTTGCTAAACCGTGTGATGGTTGGCAAGGAGGGCCAATCAAGGCCTGGATTAATACAGTCAGGAAAGATTTTTAACGTATAGACCAGCGATATATGGATTTAGACGAAGAGAAGGAATGGCTTCTAATGAATACTAGCGATGGTCGGACCGAGCAGCTTGGAAAAGTCTTACCCTTGTAGCCAGCAGAGTCAGCCTAAGGAGTAATGGTTAGAACGTCAAAAGAAGAAAAATAGTAATTATTTCTCATCATCTTTGAAATTTGTTTATTCATTTTATTCATTCAAGTTTGAATTTCGGAAGCAAAAAAATTCTAAAATCAGAGTTCCTAAAACTAATAATTATCCAATAAATATCGCTTAATTCTCTTAATTCGTTAAATTCCTGGTTCACAATTTCTGGTTACTCATTTCACTGGTTAATTAATAAAATTTTTTCTGGAAACCTCTTAAGAACAGAAGCAAAGCAGAAAGAAACTTCCAATATTATACGAATTCTTTAATGACAATAATGCAAGTAGAAGGGACTGAAGCAGAGGTTGATTGAGGTAATAATCTATTTAATGCTCATTCAGCCATAACTTTTCGAGATTTTAGGAATTCAGAATCGCAGATTATGATAACCCTAATCTTTTCGTCCACGCTTTTGGTGGGATATATGATATGTGATAAATTTATAAATTTCATAGTATTTATAGTAACTTTATAATACTATAGTAAATTTGGCTAAATTATTGCTTGTTGATTCAAAATTGATTATTTCACCCATCTTATTTACTAGCATTTATGCGAATTAGAGCCATCCATATAATGGACGGTCGCCAAATGAAATATTTCGACCATATGGACGGTTTTATTTGCCGACATACTGAAAATATCCGTTAATTGACTGCTTTTATTTCATTTAACTGATAATTAAATGTTTTCTAAAGTCAAAAAATATCGCTCTTGATACTTTCATCCATTTAAAAGCGCTCACCATTTTTCGTTTGGTTTGGCTGACTCAACCCATTTTTAGGATGTGGGATAGAAGTACAAGCGGGGTAGGATTTAATGGTCAAATGTATGATGTTTCAAGCTCAATCAAAAGAAAGTACTACTTGGTAATCCTGTTCTTGATCATTAAAAGTCCCTTCGAGATGACTAGCAAAAGATACGTTATTCGGTATGTAATTGAGGTTTTTCAACAATGAAAGGAATGAAGAAATACTGAATCCTTACAGACAATCCACAGAATTAAGAATATTAGCGTGAAAAAAAATGCTAACCATATTTAGTAAGTAAATCGATGATTTCCACGTTATTATTACATGCAGCACTTCTGAAGGCATTCCAGTGTTGTGCATCAACATAATGCGCAGCATTTGGTCGTTTTTCAAGAATTAAACGACAAATTTCTGTATGTCCTCGACTGGCAGCTATAATGAGTCCATATGCAGTGTCATCATCATTAACTGTGCTGATCATTTCACTTACCAGAATTTCATTACCATTTGAACAACCGTAGACAAAATCAGACTGAAATAACAACTTTCAAAAAAGGTCTATTGCAGAGATTTGCTCCTGTTATTCTTTACTATCAGCAGTAATAACTTAGATATATTATAAATATATATATAATGATATATAATGATCTTATGCAAATGCCATTTCCTAATCATCATTGAGCGAGATATTCGAACAGTTCAGTCAGTAGCTACAGCTATTCGGTGATAAATTTTTTCGGCATATATGTCTTCAATGTATCTCCAATACATTGTTGCCAGTACAGCGTCAAGCTAATTAGATGGAAATTATGATGCTAATGACGATGGCAATAATGATGATGAAATAGTGATGGTGATGATAAATAACAACTGTAAGATCGTGGATCAAAAGAATGAATTAAATGAATTAAATGCATCTAAAAGAAATGATGAAAACGATTTTAAGTCCACTGGACTATTAACAAGTACTTCGAAAAATATGATTTTCATCAGAAACAACAAGAATATTTTATATTTAAATTCTTTTCCATTTAAACATTTCTTTAACAAAGGTACGGTCGAGTAGCACCTCAGATTGTTGCTTCCTTTCCGAACACAATAGGTCTATTCTTGGTTTTGACAAAAGTCAGTTTTTCACTAAAAATTCTAACATACTGCTGGCGATTTCTATTCACCAAATAATACGAGACAAAAATTTATAACCGTCAATCAACAACAACCAGCGCAATGAACCTCATCCAAAATGATAAGCGCCCACCACTTTTTAACAAAAAGCAAATTATCATATATCTTAATTTTCTGAAATATGAAGAATTTCTCCATCGAAAATTTTTTTTCTTTTTTCTTCCATAGCATTGATATATGACTTAATCAATTTTATTCGACTAGAAGTATTTCTAAAGGAATTGTTTTATGCTTGTATCGATTATTTGTCACTGTCAATTAGTCGACGTAAATATTCAACATGAATTTCCGAGTCAGTCTTTCAATTAACTTAGCTCTAATTTATAATTTCAATTTATTTAGCAGCTGGCCTCAAGGAGAGAGAAATGATAAACTGCATTCGTCAGTTTTCTTAAAAATCCATCCATACATAATGCAAAAATCAAAAAATGATGAACTAAACTGGAAATAAAATCTATTTAATAATGCAGTGGAGGTTTTATGGCTGAATATTCTTTGAAAAACGCTTTAAGAATCATAGTTGTTTTCTTTAAGAATACCCTTGCCATTAAAAGTAAAATATCTGGAGATTATACTACCTTCTACCTTTTCAACTGATTCTCTTGCGAAAGTATTTCATCTAGGTGACCAGCGAAAATCAAACCAGAAATGTTTCTGCTTTAATCCAGAATTTGTTAATCAAGCTAGATTTTAAAGTTATTCTCGAAATAGTTCACTATTATCAAGTATTTACAGTTAATTTAGTCATTTCATTTTAAATAACTTAAATTAAGTTACTTCATTTGGCTAATTTAGCGATTTCTGTATATTTTGGATGAAATTTTCGAAATAAAAATAAAGAAATTTTTCAAATTGCTTTCTGCAAAGAATAAAAGAGAATAAAAAGTAACTTAAACATATGAACGTTGACGATGATAAATAAGCAGAACAAGTGTACATCTGCTATCGCATTTACCCGGTAATTTATTACATATGTAAACCCAGTGGAGATAATTAATTAATGAGTTTTAAAAAATTCTAATTGCACGTTAAATTATTGCAATAAAATTTAACGACAGAATTATATATCAAGCAAAAAATTTTTTGTGTCTGCCTGAAAAATGATTTGAATAATTGAAATTCATCATTAATTTGGGAAAATTATTGCCCAAATAAAAATATTTTCTAAAAATATTTTCCTAAATATTTTCTTTATCATTATCAATGCTTTTCCTTCAAGGCGAATTAATGGAATTCTTTGTCTGATTCCCATTGAAAAACGAAAGTGGTCTCAAAATCTTTTATCCGTAAAAGTTTGTTGCACGATGAGAAGTATTTCGTACAGCGCAAAGATATATTGTATATTAAAAATATAGAGAAAAAGTAACAGTGGAATTTTTAATTATCTAACAGACTGATTTCTAACAGACTGATTGGATTTGCACAGTTGTGAATAAAAAATAATCGAAAATTCCGTGTTAATTCCGCGTTGAGCAATTATTACTCGATTTTATCCAAAATTCTTGAATAAAGCATGAGATCATTGATTTTTCTCTTAAAGTTTAAAAATTTTTTCATTTCTTCGTTAAGGAAATTATACCAACTAATCTCTTTTATATTCCTTGAATACTTTGGCATATGTATTCAACATTATAACTGAAATCGATGATAAATCGCAGCGATAATTCTACTTTCGCAATAGATCGTGGAAATTTAAGAGATAAAGAAATTTACAAGAAGCAACTCAACGCTCACATTCAAATTGATGAGGATCATTTTTAAACTAATTTGCTTCTAAATATTTGCCATCCTTATTAAGCGTTCACTAATTAACGATAAGCTAATCGACAATTTCGCGGATATTCATGATTTTATTTTACGAGCAATGAAAAATTAGACCATAAAACCAAAAGTCTAACAACTACGATTTTTTCAAAATTGAGCATATATTTTTAAGCATTTAAAATTTTTCAGAGTTAATCTGCGTTCACAACCAACAATCGAAAGAAAACTAATTGTTTTCAGATAATATATATATATATATATGAAATAAAGAATTTTTATATTATTCCCCCTACTGTATTGTTATAATAATTCTAGAAACGTTCTTTTTTTTTCTTCTTCTAACGGCATATTTCTGGTTTGACTAATTCTCTTGACTATTAGGATAAGACCTTTTCGTTAGAGAGATAGTTGAAGATAGGATTTAGATAAGTTTATTCTATCAAGTGCTGGAAATGAATACATGCTGCTTCACCTCAGTTGAAGAAATATAAGAAAAAGTAACTTAACTATGTTGCCCCCTATATAGATTTTTTAAAAAATTTAGAATAAATTATATTCTAAGAAATTCTTGGTTAGGCAATAGAAATAAATATTAATAATTCTCAAAGATCGATGATTTAAGGAAGCAAAACATATAATTTAGTTCGAATCGAAAAAGGAAGCAAGTGAGAACAATTAGAATTTGCATAGCAGCTAATGCCTTTTATATTAATTTAATCCTTAAACGAATAAATCCTTAAAATTTCTTTCATTTGAAATTACTCTTTTCTTAGCAATGATCAATATTCTTCGTACATTTAAAGTAGTTTTTCTATCGTAAATAGAATCAGGTCAATGAAATTGTCATAGGCGAGAGAATTACAAATAGTTGTGGATACGATTATTGCTTTAAAATTAGAATATATCTTAAGTTTTGTCTAAAAGTGGAGCATTAAATAAATTATTGTACTTGGCATGACTGATCGAGCATTTGTGCGCCAGCTTTTCGTAATAATTCATTGGTTTCTCTATCAATCACTGGACATTTTAATTGAATTATATCTGCACCGAAATCACGAAGAATTTCAATCTTATTGCGATAATTCCAACCTATAATGCTTAAAATATATTTATAAAATGCCACTCAATTAATGTTTTAAAATAGAATTCAATTAACATCTGTTTAGTTTTCTGGAAATTTTCCATAAAATTTTCATAATACATTTTTAATATTTATATTTACTACCCAACAGTGGTGCTGGTGACTCATCTGTACTTCGCCAAATGATTCCATGGCAAAAATTTCTGTTCATACTAACTAACCAGTAATTTACGCGGACCACTCATTTAATTTACTACTTAAAGAACGAATTCTCTGTTTCAAAGCTTTTCATATAAACTAATACAATTTAGCTCAATAAAGAGGTCCATAAATCGCATATTTCGACCAAATTAACCTTTAGCATGCGCCAAGTGATAGGCAAATTCAATGAGTTCTTGAGCAGTTTGACATCCAAGCCTTCGAATACCGTCGACCCACAATCCGTGACCTTCACTACAATTATAGCGAAATCGTTCTTGCCATGCAGCTTTCAATATTAGAGGATCCGAACATTGTAATACTGGTTTGCAATCGATCAAATCTTGTTCTATGGAATCGCCACTTTTTCCTGTTACTATTTTAGTTATACAAACTAGTTTTTGCCGAGCAGGCGGTAGTCGACTTGAGGTAATAAGTTGCAGATAGAAATTCAGATGAGGCGACATGACAGATTCTATCGCTGAGAACAAGCCTTCATGTCCGATCGGTAAATCACTACAAATATTGATATTCAAAATATCATTCTGTGAATCGGAAGCAGGAGAAACTGATAACAAGTGCGACTGGATTGCATATGAATATTGATCTACATAAAACCATGATCCCTGAAAGGATAAGCTCATAAAACATAAAATTTTATAAGGAATAAAAATGAAGCGCTATGAACGATAAAATTACCTGACAAGCTTCAAGCATCACCGATGAATCAATATTTGGCAGTCGAGTTTCAATGAATTTAAGAAGTTCAGTAGATCCACGATCCAACTGATGAATTATGAAATATTGTTCCAGCATTCTTCGGTATCTTACATCGAAATGTCGCGATGTTATTGCAAGTTTCAGCCATTTAGGAAATAATTTTGACAGCTGAAAACAATTCCGTCTCTTCAAAAGATAACATTCGGAAATCGATGGATTTTTCTCATAAAAAAACCGTTTCATTAAAAATTATGACTTATAAATATTAATTTCATCAAAAAATGAGGGAAAAAATAACAAATGACAAAAATGACATATAAAAATGACATTGAATTTTAAAAAATTATCTAGGCCATTCAAAAATCGAATAATTGAAAGCTCAAGTAAGTGCTACATTTTTGACGAGAAAATAAATTGCATCTTCAATCAAGATATTTCTTAATTTTGTGGGTATTTTATTTCTCACTTAATCCCACTGAGAAAAATCTTACCGTCAGATGACAAAAATCGGCAATTTCTCAAATACTTTATGCAAAAATAAGTGATCAAGAACAAAAGTGCCCCCTATTTTCAAGAACATATAATTAAGTGCAAATGTTCACATCATGCAATGGCCGCCTACGATCACAATCATGAATATAATCAAGAGTCGATAAGGTCATTCACACATACTTGACCGTGTGAATGTCGAGTTAATAGAGTTCGTTCTTTCAATTAGATTTTTCGCTAAAATTTTAGTAAAATTTGTTTTGTTTGTTTTTTTTCCTACTTGTGAGAAAACAAACTGACTAACCTGAATTACAGTTGGTATAAGCTCATGTTCTATTCCATCAATTACAACAAACCGCGTCGACGATGGCATTGGAATCGAAAGTAAAGGTTTTATCAAAAAATTCCTAATAACACTTTCCTTAAAATATTTATTAAAAACTAATTAAAATTTATTTGTTAAAAACTATATCGAGAAATCAAACAATTTTCGAAAACAATGATTTCTTCTATATTGCCTCTTGTATTTGAAAAAATGCGAAAAATTACCTGAGCGGTTAGAAGAGTCGTCGTCTTAAATTTTGGTATTACCAAATTAGGAAATTGTTGAGTCAACTGACGTGCCAAATTGTGCAACAGTGTAGCTGTTTCTATCGATTCCGGATTAACCCACGAACAATAATGTACAGCCGCAAGTTGAGGCTCATCTTCTAACTAAAAATAATAAATAATAAATAACCATCGAAATTATCAATAAAAATGAAATAAGATTAGAGCTCATAAAATGGAATAATAAAAAATATAGAAGATTTAAGATATATAAAATTTTATTTTAATTAAAGATATCAGAAATAAAAGTAAAACAACATAAGACAAAGAAAGATGAAAATTCATTGATAACCAATAGATTTAAAGAATTTTTTTTCCAACTTTACTTATCCGAATTTTCTGGAAAAGGAAAATCTTAAATGTGTCAAATTTGCTAGATCTTAATTCATATTTATGTGGTTCTTTAATGCAATGACCATCGGAAAAAATCGAAATAGGAAAATTTCTTTAGGCAGATTTGAGTTCTCGAATAATGGGATGAAAAAGAAATTTAGGCAAATTAATGAATTTCTGTTCTGAATTACCAAATTGTTTCCGAAATCCCATTAAGTAGAAATAAAAATGCATAAGAGATCAATTTTAAATGAAATATTAAAATATTTAAGTTGAAATTTAAATTGAAAATTATGGTTTCTCAAATTTTTTTCCTGGCAAGAAATTCATTTTTTTCTAATCAAAGCGCACATTATTATTTATTTTGCAGCCATTGTAGTAATATAATAATGAGACGAGAAACAAAGTGGCCAACGAAACACAATTGAACGTTATGATTCTTATTTTTACCCGATTGATGTGATTCGATTTAGATAAAATTTTTTTTTATAATAGAAGATAAACGTTAATTGATGGCGAGAAGGTCATAAATGTGAATACGAAGACTAAACTCGAAAATAATTTTCAAAAAATAATAGTCAATAATTTATTAATTTAATAAAATTTCACTTAATGATGGAGTCATTTAATAAAAATTCAAGCTAATTGCTTGTCCAGTAAATCGCTCGAATTTTTTAATAAGGATTTTACTCGTATAGGTATGACTCGGGTCTTTGAATCTCAAGACAATAGTCTATAGACAATGCTGCTAGTTTCTCGATTACACCATTATTTGCTTATAGTCTAACAAAATTCACTTGAAAGAGTTTAAACTTAATTACAATATGATTTCAAAATCATTTAGAACCCCATAAAATTATTATTTGCGCAATTAATAAAGTTTGGAGGAACAATCGACTAAACTAAACTATTAGTTCTAACAGAATTAGAAAAAGGAAGAAATAACATGAAAGTATCAATAAAAATGATGATAAATAGAAGAAAAAAACTGACCTGTTTCACCAAAAATGTTTTTCCAGTATATGGTGCTCCAACGATAAGGAGTGATTTGCCTGAATCTTCATCATCGTAAATCCACTGCTGAAAGTATTTTTTGGATTCTATTCTTTGCATCATTGCAGTAGTCGATGAAATGAATGGAATCTGCAAGAATGATTAATGTGCATAACGCAAATATAACTGCTGACCTATTTCGCTATGAAAAATATTGAAACATTTATATTGAAGTAATTCAGCATAAGATTTGAGAAATTCAACACTTATGATATTACTAATATACTCCTTTAGAGATTAAGATATTACTTTAAAAAAGGTTGGTAAATTCAGAATTGCAGGCGAATTTTTACGCTTTTCGAAGCCATTGATGACCATTCATTGAAATAATTGATTCAAGCGACACAGCTTGAGCTAAACCATTAACAAATAAATAAATTCTGTGGGTCAAAGACAAATGTACCGAATTTATTATGGAATAAGAGCCATGAATCAGTTTTCTATATTAAAATATCTATAAAAAATTTTCTTGATAAAAAAAAATAATCGATGAAAGTTATGTGATTCCGTTGATTCGATAATGGAGAAATTATGTAGTCTGAAAAACGTTCTGAACAGGCAAGATGGCACTAAGAGAAAACATATTATAGACTGGGATCAAATAAAGGATGAGAAAAACCCGTCAAGATGGCACTGAACGAGTCTTGCACCTTTAACTAATAGTCTAAGCAAAATAAATAAATGCCTCGAGGCAAAAAGATAAATAGTCATCGCCAACGGCTGTGTACGTGTTGCACATTATAATACATTTAGAAATTAATAGAGTACGTAATAGAATAATATTGACGGATTTCCTAGAAAACTTTATCGCTGAAGAACCAAAAAAATGATATTAATGAAAAAATTTCGTTAACATTCACGAATCAAAAATAAAATTTTTTTCAATCATTGCTCATCGAGTAAAGAATTAAACGTGCGCATAGAAATGAAAAAAAAAACAACAAATCTGAGTAAAAATCAAAATTTCATCGAATGTCAGAATGGAGTAAAATTAGAGTAAAAATGGTTAAATCGACAACCCACGAAGGTGACAAACTATCGAACGGTAATAAACAACGGGTGGCCAACCTAATGTCACAAATTTCGTTTCTCGATTACGAATCGACTCTCATCGAATCTTTGTCAAAATATATTGAATACGAAATCAACAAATGAATAAATAGCCAATATATCTAATATTTAACTAATTTTTGAAAGATTTAAATATTTAAATATTTAATATTCATTTCTTATATTATATTAAAATATCATATAATTGAATATCTTTCTTGAGAAATAAGTTTCCTCACAGATGAATGGAACTGAATGGTGGCTTGGATTCTCATGAAAAATTATAGGCTCAGTTCTTCATCCTTTAAAAAAGTAAAGTTATAATGAAAAGCTAAAACTGGATAGTGCTAAAGACATCACCTGAAAACAATACCACTGAAGTCAGTAACCACCCAACTTATAATAGTGAGCAATGTTTCACATATTTCCTGATAAAAATATAAGAGATAGTAGAAGAGCTAAGTAATATCTTGAAAAATGGAAAATTCACTGTGGAAATATTTTTCTTCACTTCTTTAAAGGAATCGACCAGGAAGTATAATTAATTACTGGATATAAAATAATATTCATTCTTTTCATCTACTCTGATGATGATTCTTTGTTCATATGAATCCTGGCAAATATAAATGAACCTTTGAACCCAAAAAACAAGAGCCATCACATTAGACTTAAACACTGTAAACCTGCACCTGTTAGAAGTGAACTTATCATTATAAAATCCTGGTACTTGGATTTGTCTGTATTTCTGTTCATAAAATAACAGATAACCGCTTTCTAAATTTTTTTTCAATTTGCGAGCAATTGTTGAGTGATAAGACAGACAGATATGAAACAAAAACACTGGCAATTATGAAACAGGCTGATGAATTCAAAAAATGAAAAGTCAAAAATGAAAAAATGAAAATTTGAAGAAAATGATAAATAATTAAAAAATATAGATTTTTTATATCCAATAACAACTCACCCTTAGAAACGCCCCATCCTCATAGTCAGTGGAGTGCAACCTAATCACTAATGATGCGCACTATTAGAAAGATAAAAACTGGACAAAAATGAAAAATTGAATGCAATAACTGCAAAATTACTTTGTAATTTCTTAAATGAATCGCATAATCCTTATAAAAAACTTTTATTACGATTATAACGTTTATTTTTATTACGATAGCCTGATAAGGACTGATTAGACCAAACCCAATGAAACTGCAATAAAACCGAAGTAAAATCGAATATCCTAATCATTTTTCGTGCAGAATAAAGACTTTATCTCTTTATTTTTTCCTCATTTTTATAATTATAAGTTTTTTTTCAGGGTGCCCAGGGAATATCAACCAGATCATTATATTTTTCTGCTGCTTGATTTATTTTGCTGTTGATTAAAACAAAACTGGTGAAGAGAAGATAATTAATTTAGCCATTTGAGAATAAATAAATTAACTAAGGATGATATAAGATAAAAGCTTAGGTTTTCTGGAAAGCCTAAATGAAATACATATTATCCACTACCGAGGATTTCATTAATTTTCTTATTTCATTGATAACCCTTATGAAAGAACATTAGATAATTTATATTCCGATTTTATTAACTTTATAGCTGGTAAATCCCCAGGATGTATTATCTGAACCATCGAATAATAATCGAATCTTATGGTTGAACAACTCACAAGTTCAACAGCGACATATCAAAAGCATGAAAGTAAAATAAGGTTATTGAATAAATAAAATGTGATATCAATCATCAAAAAATTACAATGGCAAAGAATATATGTATGTAATTCGATGGCAATTCGCAATTAAATAAATCGAAGAAAACATTCATCGACTATTCCGCTTTCTTCTGCCGTAATAGAACTGGTGACAAAAGAATTGATGGTAACAATCAATAGATGGCTAAAATTGATTAACCTGGACATTAAAGCTTTACTTAAATTATTTAAATTTAAATTAGTTTGAAAATTTACAATTTTTGAAGGAAATGAGCAAAAGGAAACAAATACACAAGGAAATCGATTTAAGCAAGTAATTAACTCTCATCACTCTTGGTTTGCTGTTAATTGGTTAGAAATTTTGGCCAGGAAGGCATTTCGCAATGGAAAACACATAGGTCACCAACACCACCAGTACGAAAAATCGAAACAACTATGTCATTTGACTACTACTTTAGCCACTTCGAGTTACAAATAATTTATTTTTATTATTAGTTTATTATTATTTTTATTATTATAAAATTAGTCAAATATATAAATAAACTATAATAAATAAGAATCGCTCAATTATTGTATAGCATTTTATTTGATGGCATTCTTTTCTGAAAGTAAACAAATAATTTTATTTATAATATAATTGTACCAAATGCAACACTCTTGATGAAAATCATTCAAACTGTTGAACAAATATAATAAGGGCTTTATATTTCACCTTTCACCTTTCCAGCTTTCACTTTATACCTTCATTCATACTTTTCTTTTACATAAGTAAAGAGCGTCGACTGAGAGTAGGATGAGCGAGAGAACTGCGTAGAGATAAAGATACTAGTGGACCTCCAGCAGCCACTGAGATTTTGCTTCTAATGACAGGTTTATAAGAGTTAAAGGACAGATATCGACAGATCAAGTAACATATTTATATATTTGCAAATCACACTTGCACATCCTAAAAGAATCATTGAATCATTGTAAATAATTGAATAGCACTTGTCATTTCTGCTTAGATTCATTAAACCGATTGCTAATATAGTGAGAAAAATTTCTGCTAGTGAGATGGAAGTACCGAGGAGTGTCTGGGTTTTTTACTATTTGGTTGATTCATACTGAAGGAGAAAGCCCAAATCTTGATATTAGAAACGATGATTTAAGAAAAAGTACTTAGCTATTCCATCTATTAGTAGAAATAAGAAAGGAAATTAAGAAGAGAAAAAAATGATTTAAATATAATATTGATGAAAATTGAACTGAAGAAATAAAATAATAAAATGAAAATCCGCAATCGACGGCAATTTTCAGTTTACTATTATAAGATAATTCTGATGTTAAAAGATAAGGCGGAGCGAGAAAACTTCGAAATTTTCATTTCGAAATTATTTGTTATTGTTATTCGATGGAGAATGGGAAAATAGAGCGGTTAGATTATCGTACTGAATGGAAGGATAGGGTTTCTGTCTGCGATAAGAATGTACCTATCATAAGAATGTACCATTTAAAAATCCGGGCAATGCTGGCGACATACCTTGGCTTTTTCGCCAACTTGCTGGCAAACTTTCTAATCTTGCAAACAGCGCAGCCTGTCGAATGCCGAGCACTAACCATTTTTCATTCGAAACAATTCCCTTCTAATTTTGTTTAATTTTAAAATGGATTTCTGAATTATTAAAAAAAGAATAATGAAGAATATTATAAAATATCAAAGATCTTAAATTTTTATCTCGAAGATAATTAATTAATTCAAAAAATTAAAATTATGCTTGCCACCTGTTTCCGATAAAATTATTGCATCTTCTATAGCATAAGAACAATAATAATAATAATTTTAAATTAACCGGTTTTTCCAATTTTTTAATCGGAATTTTACTCGTGTCTTACATAAGTGTCTAAATGTTTGATAGTATATTTATCGAGTCATGTTGCAAAATTTGAAAAAAAAACACTTTTTTCGAGAACTCTTTTAACTTTACAATAATTTTTAAAAAAATTATAGATAGTGGAGAGTAAATAAACAGAAAAAATTTTCGGCCTAAACTGCAACGAAAAAAAATTTCTCTTTTTCTCTCCTTTTCTTATAAAATCATTTTCAAATATCCTAGAATCACGATCGACTAAATAACTGATTTATGTAACATTTTATTAAAACGATATAGATAGCAATAAAACCATTAGTAATCCGTTAATAAATAACATTTCACCAAAAATTAGCCACAAAGAACCGTATCCTCTTGAAATTCAAAATACATAATTATGTTTGGTTCATTAAAGTTCTGCAACTCACCTGTACTACCACCAAGGGACTATCTAGCGTATTTGACTAGTCCGACAAGCCAGAGGAGCAAGTCTAACTGGTAATAAAAAAAGAGTTATTTGAACTCAGAACTCTAGTAAAATCGTTAAAAAGATTGAAAGGGATGAAAGAATACCGGATGATATAACAAATTCCTATTGCAGACAAATAGAATTAAATTAAATTTTCCAATTTCTAATTTCTAAAATCGATTCCTACAACGTAAAAATTTAAAGCTTTCTATCGTATCAAAAATATTCTAAAGGCTCAAGCAAATGAAT